GCCACGTAGCGAAAAGAAGAAACGACTGGCGCGCTGTTGTTAACTCGGCTATAATCGCGTAAGCGGTGACTACGCCAATCAAGAAGAAGAAGACATATCGTAATTTCTGAATCACATTTAGGTATATATTATCAGCTTCCATTTGATTCATATTTGAATTCTATTATATAATTAAGTAAATATAATATAATGATCAGAACGATCACATAAAGCGAAGAAACCTCGATTAAATTAAATTAATACGAATTTTGAATGATTTATTTGCCACTTTGACTTCTGTATGTCTTAATTGTATATATATGCATATACTCATATGTAATGAAATCGTTGGCGTTTAAATAAATGGTTAAACAGAAAATACCCGAAAAAGTGCTATTTATGCCAATGTAAAGTTCAACAAACCGTTGAACTAGAAAAAGGCATGAATAAGTGGTTTATGATTACTTTACGAGTACGAGTGCGAGTACTCACTTGCATTTTTTTGTTGCTTTTTTATTTGATCGCCTATTAAGCGAAGTCTTCGCAAATTCTCGCTGAGTTGGCTGGACAAAGTGAAGTTCATTGTGCTTTATGGGAACGAAAGACGCACATACATATATGTATGTGTATATAAGAATGAATTAATACGTAACCTAAATGTGTAAATATATATGGATATAGCTCGGTTGACTTTTTGGTAACTTTAAACAAAAACAAAACTAAAACAACAGTTTGTAAGTGAAATTCAAAATTATATTTGTCTATTTAAGAATTCAATTAGAGAGTATACCCACACGCAAGTCTGAAAAAACGCTTTTTTTGTAAATTTTTTATTGGACACATTTTTGGAATGGAATAAAAAACATTATACAAAATAGTGCATTTACAAAATTTAATGAATTTTTATTATTATTTATTAATCGGCGATTCATTTTGACTATTTTTGGATTTGCCGATCTTCAGGAAGACCAACGAAATTTGTTTTCTTCTTAAAATTATTTTAAATCCCAAAATTAAAAATATTTATTATTAGTATGAATTAATTCAGATAATGACCGAAAGACTAGTTAAAATTTTGATTTTTAACAAAATGCTGGTTTGCAAAAAAAAAACGGTTTTTTTTCGGTGAAAAAATTTACAAATCTGAGCGATTGAAAAATCGATTTATTTTATTAAAAACCTTACTGCTTCGCTCATTACCTGAAAAAGAATACGATGGGGATGGGGAGAACAGTTAAAAGCGATTGACACAGCGTTTCGAGCAAAAATTTTTCACTACCGATTACGATTAAAACAGGCTCATGCATCCGAAATTATTTGACGGATCAATTTATAATTTTTAACCCCTTTAAGGAATGATAATGAAAGCCTTGAGAATAGACGTAAAGAGAAGGTACGGCTTGAATACGTTAAAAACTGGAGAATGAAAAATGTTCTGCATCCAAAAACAAAACTTAGATTAAAAATATATTAATGAGGTGATAGACTAAACAAACTCACTTGAAACAGGAACAAAATTTAGCATATTTGCAAGTAATCAATGTCTTTCTGTTTACGCGATGACATAATACTGCATTTATTCCGAAAATTGCATTTAAATATAGTTATGAATTATTCAGGTAATTAACGATATGCATTTTGATTATCAGCTTGACACCTTTTACGTGCAAGCACTAAATAAGTTTCGGATATTTAAAAGCGCTTAGCTATTTCAGTGGAGTTTCACTTTCAACGATTACGAATTGAAATTGCGTCACCTTTTCTGATATACAAAACGAATAAATATCAACAACAATATAATATGGTAATGCTGATTTGATCATGTCATAGGCGAATAATATAGAATGTTCCACAAAAGCGAATGGAAATTAAAACAAAATGCTAAATTGTAAAAAAAAAAAAAATTTTTCACAACATTATACAAATTATAGAAGTAGTTGGAGAAAAAACGTGAAATATTTGCTAAGTGACTGAAACGAAATGTGACAGCATAAATTTAACAATTTACTAGAGGGGAAATGACTAGCTGACAGAAATTATGCATACGAGACACACAAATTGTCTCCTTCAGTGGTTGTGCATGTGTATGTGTCTCGAAATTTATCGCTCATCTTTTATAGTCTCAATACAGAATATGGCACGCGCTACCAACTCGAGCTTCGCCATTTGTGTATGTTCAATTGTGATAAATTTCAAGGAATAAAACTAAGAATGATGACATTTTACAAACATAAGTACAAGTTCACATACATACCTTAGTGAAAGTAGCTGCAATGGAAAGAGGAAATAAGAAGAGATTAGAATCAGTTTTGAAATTATTGCAGGCAATAAATATATTTGATATAGAGGTAGTCAAGTGACACAGTTTAAAGAGTAAGTCGGGTGGAGAAAGTATATTTTTTTATTCGGCATTATTTTAAAGTGCTAATATTCTAATCCAGTAGGGATTGTTGGGAATACTAAAAAGCTTTTATACAATGTATAAGTAGTTCAGAGGCAGATCTCAGATCAGGTTTTAAGATGTCATTTGTTGCAAACACGGCAAAAGAAGGGAGAAGTCAAATCATGTATTTGGGCTGAAAATATAATAATTCAGAGAT